TCTTGAAGGAGGCCCCTTGTGTAGGCCTAGGCCCCAACTCACATTCCTTTAAAAACAAACAAAATCTTCCATGCTTGCCTCGTTGACTGTTTGCTTGGAAGTTCATTCTGCAACACCCCCACCCTGGCGCTCCAACAATTACACGTACAGACTGGAGATGAGAAAGCACCACCCTCGGCCTCCCCCCACTCACCCCACGCACTTCCCAGTGCGCACCAAAAAAAATAAATAGTTACTCATGTTTGAGCTACCTGGGAAAGTAAACAGGTAAACAGTGGTCAGCTTTCGAAGGCCACTTGTCCTGGAGTGGGGCCACTTAGTCTGTGTACTTTCGCCTCCCCTCCTGGGCCTCCACAATTGTTCAGCTCTGTCGCCAGGGAAGCTCCCAGTGGGTCCTGAACCCCAGCACTGCTGCGGAGGTAAGCTCAGCGCCCCAGATGCCTTCCAAAAGAGCTTGTCCTCTTGCCCCAGACAAGAGTGAGCAGGAGAGACCCAGAGATGGGGGGGGGGGGATCTTCTTTGTCCTTTTTCAGTCCCTTGACCTACCATCCATGCACCTGTTCAGAATGTAGGAAGAGTAACGATGCAGTTAGAAGACCCAGAGCCCAAAGGCTGAGAGCAAAGGTGTGTGTGTGTGTGTGTGTGTGTGTGTGTGTGTGTGTGTGTGTGTGTGTGTACGTGGGAGGAAGACCATTCAGCTGTTTTCATGCACACTGCTTAGGGCGACAGACACCTCACAAGTGGGATACACTCCCCTGGGATCCCTGTCTCAACTTCTGTACCCCAAGTTGACAGGAGTTCCCCCAAGAAGGGCTTGCAAGCTCAAGCCCACACCCACACCCACCTGCCAGGTGGGGTTCTGACTGCTGGGCAGGAGCTTGGAGGGTCTACCGCACAGCCCTCTGAGTGGGCAGACTGGGGCGCATCCCGGGCATCCTTGCTTGGGGTTTGAAGGCTCTGGAAAGGGGAAGAGTTGTGTTACTGGGTCTTAGAGAACCCAGCTCCTCAAGGCCAGGTGGCGTCTTGGGGAGTCTTGTACATGTACCTGTCTCATTCAGGCATCTGGGTGCATTTGGAGCCTGGCGCCCTGGACTCTTCAGGCCCCCCATGATCGAGGAGTTCCTTCGAGCATGCCCTGACCTTGAGACTTGCCCCCAGGCTGCCAGCTGGGCCCGACACGGGCCACCCGGCATCTCCAGGCCTCTCCTAGGGGACTTGCATTTTATGATCTTCCTCTAACAAGCCCAGTTTCTCCCCCGCAATTACAGGCTTCCCAGCGGTCTCCCTGGGCCTTTTCAATTGCAAATGTTAACGCTTTGGTAGCGGACACAGGGAGCCACAAGGGAGACCAAATGATGGGGAAAATGGACTTGCCAGGTCCCAGGATGGAGACAGGCTCCAAGCGAGGTGCAGCAGGCTATGCAGAGACCTGATGGCAGGAGGCAAGGCCTCTGCTGCCTCCAGCTCCCCACCCCCTTCACCCCACCATCCCAAGCCTAGGAGAGCCGGAGCAGTAAAGAAGGGGCAGAGACTGGATGGGTCAGCAGGTGTGGTGGCCCAGGCCTGCCCTCTGGAGGCCCAGACAGGGTTCTGAGCCCCAACCTGGGAGCCCCCTGCTCAGCTGGGTCCTGTGTCAGCACTTTCCTTCCCCCTTCAGGCTCAGAGCTAATTCCCGTGGGGAAAACTTTTGTCCCTCAGGTGCTGTGCTCACCTTGCAGGCTCCCAGGGGTGAGAGGAGGGGCAGGAATGGGGAACAGTGGGGGGGAGGGGGAGGGAGGATGGATGCAGCTGGATATTACACTAAAATAGGCAACCTCCTCACCCCCTCACTGCAAAGGTGGCTCTGGGGATAGTCCGTAAAAGGGGGGGGGGGAGGGCACTTCTGCCCACAGACCTCTTTTTAGATGTATCCCAAGCATGGGCCTGCCCCTACCGGGCTGCATTCTGGGCCCCAGAGTCCAGCCTCGGAGGCGGCCCTAAAAACCCCAAGCCCGGGGGGGGGGGGGGGGGCGGGAAACTGAGGACAAAGCAGCATGGTGCTTTTTCTACAAATGCTTTTTGGGGATGAGGAACTTTTTCTGACCAAGTTATTTATTTAGCTGCTGAGTAACAATAGTCTGAGGCCGCACAAGCCCACCCTCCCCAATTCCCCCACCCCCACCCCGTGTCCAAACTCAGTCACTACCCCCACCCCAAGGCTCCTGAAGAACGGACCCGGGCAGGCAGCTCCCACGTGAAAGGAGGAAGCGAAGGCGAGTTAGGCAAAAGAGAGAGAGGAAAACCCACAAAAAGTGATGGGTTCGAGGAACATGATACAAGCCAGCTAGTAATTCTCGCAGGAAAAAAGAAAAAGTCGAGGGAGAAAGAGGAGTCGGACAGCGTGGACACGAAGGCGTTTCCTTAATATTGTGGACGGATTCAGAAATGAATGAAGAGATAGCCCATTGAAAAGGGTTGAATGCCATGACAACTAGAAACAACCTTAGATTTATTCCAAACAGTTAGGGCGCCTTGAAAGAGAGCGTCAATCATGTATTATTTCGCCACTGAAATAAATGCAAAAACCGAGCCCGGACAAAGGCTTCCGACCGGAGCGGGACATTTGTCTACATTTCGCTCATTGTGCGCAGCTTAGCAATCGGTTTGTATTTGTGTTTGCCCGGGTCCGACCACCCAGGACGCGCCGACGAGGGGCTCTCGCTCCAACCTGGGCCATTGTCACCCACGTCACATACTGGGGGCGAGGCAGCCCCGGGGCTGCAGAAAGCCGCCCAGCGGCTCGGGAAGAGGCGCCCACAACCCGGCGCCGGCAACCCCCGGGGGTGGCGGGAGGCGCGGCAGTGGCGACCGCAGCAGCTGCGCGCGGCGAGGACCCCGGCGCTCGTGCGCTGCGCTCGGCCCGGCCGGGCCTGGGGCTGGGGGTGGGGGCAGAGCCGGAGGCGAAGCCGGGACGCCCCCTCCGTGGGTGGGAGCAGCCCCCGCAGCCTGGAGATCTCCCCCTGGCTGACACTCCCGGAAAGGGGACGAACCAGCGCCAGGTAGCAGCCCCCACCACAACCCCAAACCCTGGTCCCATTTTCATCTAGGGAGGAGGGGCTTTCCCCTGAGCCTGGAAGGAGGCGCTGTCCTGGGAAAGTTGAGAGCCGGGGCTGGGGAGGGAGGCTGCCAACTCCACATTTGGAACCGGAGGCTGGCGGCGAACCTGCCCTGCAGCGCATCTTGGGGAAGCCGACGAAATTAATGGACCTGCTAGGGAGAAAACGCAACTTTCTCTGCTCCACCGCCTCCCCTGCTGCTTTGGGGATCCCCACCGCTGGCCCAGACCCAGCGCCCCTTTCCACCCCAACCCCTCTTTCCTTGTCCCCTTCCACCTTCGAGACGGAGGAGTAGCCCAGGCCAAGCCAGCGCGCGCGGGGGCCCTCGGCCCAACCTGCCGCCGAGAGAGCCGGCCTGCGGAGACCCCCGCTACCTCCACCTACCCCTTAAAAGCTGCAAGAGACTCCCCGCTCCCGCGACCCAGCTCCCACCCAGCCGCGGCCTGGCCCGCCTTGCCCTCCAGCCCACGGAGCGGAAAAGTGTGCTGCGCGCTCCCAGTAGCCGCACAGAAATTGGGGAATTGGGGGAGTGGGAGGGGCGCAGGGCGCAAGAAATCGGCGAGCCTTGAGCAAATAAAGGGCGGCTGGAGTGGGGGGTGGGGGTAGAGGCCCGGCTGCGGACGGCCCTGGGAGGCCAGCAGCCCGACCCTGTGTCCCGGGTGCGTGGGGCTCGTGCGTCCGCGGGGAAGGAGAATCAATTAGTGGCCTTGTCATTTCTAGCGCTCATCCTTAAGCCTCAACCAAAATATTGACCTAGGAGGCTTACAGAAGTTGGGCTCTTGCCATTTGAACCGGATCTTGTTTAGGGAGAGCCACGGACGATGGGCTGGAGGGATTTCCGCGGCTCAGCCTTCGCCCCCTCCCCGCTAGCCATAAGCGATCCCCGCAATTCGCCAATTCTGCGGGGCGCGGGGGTGGGGCGGAGGATAGGCTGCGGGCTTGGGGGGCGCTGGAGTAGGCTGCGGGGGACGCAGGGAGGTAGGCAGCCCTGAGTGGGAAAGAGGATTTTCTTTGCTCCTCCCGGTTTCTGTTTTCTCCCACACCCCCATTCCCCCCTCCCACCCACCCACCCGCACGGCCTGGCCTGGGCCTTTTAAGATGCAATTTGTGCAAAAAAAGGGGGGGAGGGGAGGAGCTTTCACGCGTGAGCACTCTCAGGCAACGCGGTGGGCCTTTGTATGTAAATACTGGATAAAGAAAAAAAAAAACAGAATAAGAAGAAAGGGAAGCTCGCCCCGTCTTTGCAATTAATTGACACGTTACACCTCTCATCTCGCTCTAGAGGGCCGTTGGCTGCGAGCGCCGTGCGCCCCAAAACCCGCAATTTCGCATCTGCAAATACTGTTTTCATCCACTTGACTCCCGAGACCCGCCCACACGTGGCCAACCTTGGCGATTTTAACGTCTCTTCCCCCTTTTTTTTTTTCCACCCTTCTCCCGCCCCCCTCCACCTCCCTCCCCTCCCCTCCCCCCTCCCCAGGTTCGTGAGCGGCGCCCAGCCTTATATGAACTGATCGCTCGGGCAATGGCCCATTTTTCCCTCGCCACCAGCCGCCACCGCGCGCTGAGCGGCCGCCGGAGCCCGCGCTGACGCCGCCTTGGCACCCCGACTGGAGTTACCAACCGCGGCCGGCGGCGCGGGGCGCGCAACCCCGGCGTCCGTCCCGGCGCGCCCGCAGACAACACGCAAGCTCTGGGTCGGCCTTGATTTTTTTCCTCCCCCTTCTCTTTCCCGCTGTTTCTCTAAAAATAATAATAATTATTATTATCCCAATCATTAAAGCCCATCCCCTCCCCTCTCCCACCCCTCCTCCTCCTCCCCGGCCGCCCCCTCCCCCCTCCCAGAAAGGAACCCATCAAGAGGGAATAGCTCCAACTTCCGTGAAATCCATCCCTCGCGGGGTCCCGAACCATGTCGCTGACCAACACAAAGACGGGGTTTTCGGTCAAGGACATCTTAGACCTGCCGGACACCAACGACGAGGAGGGCTCGGTGGCCGAAGGGCCGGAGGAGGAGAGCGAGGCGCCCGAGCCCGCCAAGAGGCCCGGGCCGCTGGGACCGGGCGCCCTGGAGGCGGTGCAAAGCCTGCCCCTCAAAAACCCCTTCTACGACAGCGGCGACAACCCCTACACGCGCTGGCTGGCCAGCACCGAGGGCCTGCAGTACTCCCGTGAGTAGGGAAACTTGGCCGGGTCCGGGGGAGGGGGTAGGGAGGAGCGGAACCCCACTGCTCGGAGCCGTCCTGCTCCGGAACCCCCTTCGTGCTGGGAAAGGCTGATTTTTCTCTTTCTTGTTTTACACGGAGAAATGCAAGAGGAAGGGACCCCCCTCCCAGGCGCCGGCTGCGGCTTGCCAGCTGGGGTCCCCCTCCCCCCGAGACTGCGGGAAGGACTGGCCCGGCGCCCTGGGAGCTTGCCGCCCGTGCAGCCTCGCCCGGGGTCCGGGTGGTCCTGGTGGGGAGGCTGGATCTAAATCGCTCACCCTGTGTCCACTGCACGCTCCCGGACACCACTTAGTGCGCTTCGGGGGGCAGGATGTCCCGCCAAGCTCCCAAGCCAAAACGGAAGCCCCCCAAAACCTGCCTTAAACGGCCAGACCGATCAATGCCGGGATTGTAGTTTTTTTTTTTTCTTTTAAAAATCCGCCCACGTCTCTCCAAAGAGAAAACGGCTTAAGGGGGCCATAGCCCTTAACCCGCAGCGAGCCATCTTCTGGGCGCCACTCTCCCTCCGCCGTTGTGCCACCAAGCGAACCCCTAGAAACGCAGAGTTGCGAGCCCACCTCCCCTCTTCACTCAGCGCGACCCCGACGGCTTCCTGCTCCGATGCCGAGCAGCGCGGGCAGCGCCGTGCAGGCCGCGCGCGACGCTGGGCTGCTGGGCACCTTGGGCCAGAAGCGCACGCGAGGCTCGGGGAGCCCGGGGCTCCCCCTGGCCAAGCTGGTGCCTGACGCGCTTCTCTCCCACCCACCTCCTCTTTCTCAGTGCACGGGCTGGCGACCGGCGCGCCCCCGCAAGACTCCAGCTCCAAGTCCCCGGAACCCTCGGCCGATGAGTCCCCGGACAATGACAAGGAGACCCCGGGTGGCGGGGGGGACGCAGGGAAGAAGCGGAAGCGGCGCGTGCTCTTCTCCAAAGCGCAGACCTACGAGTTGGAGCGGCGCTTCCGGCAGCAGAGGTACCTGTCGGCGCCAGAGCGCGAGCACCTGGCTAGCCTCATCCGCCTGACGCCCACGCAGGTCAAGATCTGGTTCCAGAACCACCGCTACAAGATGAAGCGCGCGCGGGCCGAGAAAGGTATGGAGGTGACACCCCTGCCCTCGCCACGCCGGGTGGCCGTACCCGTCCTGGTCAGAGACGGCAAACCGTGCCACGCGCTCAAAGCCCAGGACCTGGCAGCCGCCACCTTCCAGGCCGGCATCCCCTTCTCCGCCTACAGCGCGCAGTCGCTGCAGCACATGCAGTACAACGCCCAGTACAGCTCGGCCGGGACCCCTCAGTACCCCACAGCGCACCCCCTGGTCCAGGCCCAGCAGTGGACTTGGTGATGAGACTCGTGGCCCAGGCCCAGGGCCCCACCCAGGGGGGGCGAGAAGGAGGAGGAGAACTCGGTGTCGCTGGCCGTGGCTATTATTATTATTATTAATTATTATTATTATTATGACCACGGGGTTGATTTGAGGCGCAAATGGGCAAGGTTCCGTACACTTCTTTGGAGTGACAGATTCCACCCCACTTCCTCGGCCCCGTGCGGGTTCTCTCCTTTAGGAACCGAGTTTGTCGGGGGAGGAGAGGGCCGAACTGGAAAAGCCGTGTTTACAGCGTGCTGGTCGGCAGCTGGCCCGCCGCCCCGCCGGGTGGGCCTCTGACCCCCTACCTTCGGCACGGGGGAGGTGCGGGGTTTGGGAGGAAGTGGGGGGTTCCGTCGTGACTTGAAAACGACAAAAAAGAGAGAGAGAGGGAGACGACCCACCTCCCCCCTCCCGCTTTCGTGATTTTTGTAAAATATGTTGGTGTGAGTAGCGACGTTGTCAGCTGTCTTCAAAAGCAAGTGGAGAACACTTTTTTAAAAATCTAGAGGATTTTTCTTTTTGTTTGTTTGTTTAAATAAGAAAAATGCTACATATTTATGGCCGTGCACACGTTCGGAGACCGTTGGCAGATTGCGCTGTGTTTCGTTGTAAATATTGGTGCTGATTGTGGCCAAATGACCTTTGCGGCCCAGCTCTTTCTTTGTGGTTTGCATTGCTTCGGGTTCTGTTTGGGTTGCCCGCCCACCCGCCCACCCTGCGCTTGTTTTGAGTGTTTTGATTTTGTTCCTCGCAAACATTTCTGAAATATGGGGTGGGGGGGGGAGGAAATATGTAGGTGAGAAGCCCTCTCCCCCAGCTCCCTGGCCCGGGTCCTGCGCCTCCGGGAGGCACAGTTCAGCGTTGAACTCCCTACCACCACTCCCAAAACCCCACCAGCATCACCGAGAGCGCGGGGCGCTGAAAGCTTTCCATTTTTTTAAAATAAGAATTTTAATAAAAATCCTGTATTTCAAAAAAAAAAAAGAGAGAGAGAGAGAAGAAAAAAAGAAACGCAGGGCTCGGGTTTGTCTGACTGGCGCCCGCTGCAGCCCCGCAGGCCCGAGGCATGGCACCTGCCCAGGGCGCGCAGCGCTCCAATCTCTCCCGGCACACAGGCCTGGCGGGGGGTGCAAGGGTCGCTGTGGGGGCTCCCCTAGGTAGGCCTCTGCCCCGGGAGGGGCGGGCTGCTGGTGGGGAGGGTGGCAGCGCAGGGCTGGAGCAGCGTTGGGGGGCCTGCTTGCAGTCGGGCCCAGGTCGGGGTGGCTTTCCACCGGCTCCCGAGGCTGCGTTCCCCTACCCCGCCTCGGGAGGGGAGAGTGACTTCGGGAAAGGCAAAGGGCAAGAGAGCAAGGCCCCCCTCGCTCGCCGAGTGGCTCCTTCAGCCTGAAAAGCTGTTGAGGCCACTACACTCAATGACTTTCACTTTGTTGGCGTCGGCTACGCCGAGGGAGGGGCGGCGGTGGCCGGCTGGGGTCAAGGCCCGTCCGCTTCCTCTCTGCTTCCCACCCATCTTCCAAATCTGCAGGCCGGCTGCAGGCCTGGGGCGGGGCGGGCGGGCGGGGAGGAGCCCAGCTCCGAGGCCTGGGCGTGGGGCCCGGGGTGTGCGACACTTTGGCCGCCAAGAGGGACGGTCCAGGGAGCCCAGGCGGGGCTCCTCCACCATGTCGGTCTGGATCCCGCGCCGGCCTCTAGGCGTTCGGCTGCGCGTGGTCCAGGCAAGCTAGTTCTGGGAAACTTGCGGTTGCCTGAATTTGTTAGAAAGGAAGGTGCAGTGGGTCGCGCGCCACGCTGGCTTCTTCTGGGCTTGGCTAAGGGAGAGCTGTAAAGTGGGCCCACTGGCTCCCCTCACCCCCATCCCCCGGGCCTCCCATCTTCCATTCTCTTCTCCCAGGCCGTGTTTCTGGGATGGTCCTGGCCCGTCTGCCACACGGAGGGGAGGGTCTTAGAGGCGGGCTTGAACCGGGAAGGGGGTGGGGGATGTAGGATAGAATGTGCCCTGCTCCTTGCTTAGCTGGAGGATTTCCGTAAATACCTGGGCGGCGTGGCTTGCAGCCTAGCCGGGTTTTCTGAGGGGCCCGGGGGCGCGGAATGTGCATGCTCATCCCCGTTTGGAGAGAGTAACTCTGGCTGGGGCTCCAACATCCCCCGAAGGGCTGAGCGAGGAGAGAGAGCGCGCTCCCAGACGGCTTCTTCACTCCCTCCAGTTGATGATCAGATTTAATTCAATATCTAAAGCAAACATGATTATCCGTGTGACCAAATCTGTGCGTCAATAGCACTCGGCCCAACAGCCCCAGAGGCCTAGCCACACTTCAGTCCCGCGGTGCGTCACCCCGAGAGAGCGGAGGACCCGCGGGCCTCTCCCTCAGGTCCTTGTCCATCTCCAAGTTCATCCCCAGACAGGAGCGGCCGCTGCCTTTAAACGGGGGAGAAGTCTTCCTTTGTTGTTCAGCTTGGAAACATTTTGGGGTGTTTTATGTCTTATTTGACAAGGTGAGAGAGCTGTTCTCAGACCGTATTCAGTACAAGGAGGCACCATCCCGCATACTCTGGCACCAGCCGCTCACAACCTCCTGGCGACTTCCCGAGGCCCCCCAACACTCCGCAGGAATGAAGTCTCTTGCAGAGAGAGTGCTAACGAAGTGGGAGGGGCGGCCCCCAAGACGCCAGCTGGTTTGTCTGTTCTAGGCCCCAGGGCTTCCCCAGGGCCCAAGAGCGGCTGTGGGAGGAAAGACAGGGTCGTGGGAGGCCCCCCGAGTCTAGGAGGTGTCCACTGTGCGCCCATTTGGGGAGGCAGTAGCCAGGCCCTGTCCGTCTCCCGGCCCGCCCAGGGCTCCTGGCGCGGCTGGGAGCAGAGGAGGTGGGCCTGGCACCCGCCTCTCTCTGTGCGCAGGTCCCGGTGGAGTCTATCAAAGCGCCCGCCGGAGCCCTGTGTGGCCCTAACCCCAGCGCCCTGGGAGCGTAGCCGGCGCCCGGTCCCCCACGGCAGTCTATCTTCGCCCAATCTACAGCGGGCCGCACAAAACCGCACAATGGGGAAGCTGGGAGCCGGAGGTGTTAGAGGCGTGCATATTAAACAGGGACAGAGAAAGGCTGGAGGGGACCGAGAGAGGGGAAGAGGGAGAGGGAGCGCGCCCTCCCTCCCCCCTCCCCGCCCCACCCTGCACCATTCAGCGCGCTTATCGCGGGCAGTGAATCCCGGAGTCAGGCAGAAGTCTCCTTGGGGTTTTGTTGGGCCTGTCACTGGGTCCCTTTGTCATCCACGGACTCCATGCTGGATTCCATATGGCCAGCTGGGCTGAGGGAGCGCGAGGAGGGACCCGCACAAAACCCAAATTGTGTCCGGCTTTCAAACCCTGTATTGTTGTCTGTGAAAGGAAGACGCATTAAAAATTCGTGCTATATCTATTGGGGAGGAGAATGGAGGAGGGGGAAAAAAGCCACCCCTGTCTTTGATGGCTTCAGAGGGCGCCTGCCCCGCCTAGGCCCCATGACATGCTGCGGGTTGGAGCTCTCCCACCCCCCATCTTCCTGCCCCGCCCAGTACCCAGACCTAAATATCGGTTTTGCAGCCCTGGCAGGCCGGGATCTGAACGCTGTGCGCCCTCGGGTGCGCGCCATGGCGGTGAAGGGAAGCCACTGGGCTCCGGAGCGTCCCGGGACGCCAGCGCCCCGCGCTTCTCTGTTCCAGGGCGGTTGAAGAATCTAGGGCCGTCGCTCCTGCAGCTTGCGCCCAAATCCTCGCCCCTCCGCCTCAACTCAGTCTCAGGCCCAGCTCAGTTTAGGCTCTGGTCAGTTCCAAGACCATTTGGCTCCCCGGAATGATGGCCCCACCGCCCCACCTCACCCCGGCGCGCCGCATCCAAAGGGACCCTCTTGGTTTGAACTTTGCACGAGGACCCCACTGGCGTCCCAGGCGAAAAAATGGGCTCAGAAAATTCGTCCTCCTTGCCCCAGCTTGGAGGAAAAAAAGGCTTCCTCTTCGGTTCTTCACGTCCCTGCGCCATTTTTGAATGCGAAATTCATCCCTGTGGACACAAAAGGGGATCCAAGGAAATTTGCCCCTTTGGATCTTGTTATTTTATTTTGCCTCCTTTAAGCAGCCGTAGTTGGAGCCGGCTTGGAGCGCGCCTGCTCCCCGCTATGGCCAGATCAGAACACCTCCCCCTCTCAGCACTGCACACACTCGCTGAGTCCACATTAGACCCCGTAGAAACACACGGAGACCCCAAAGATAACGACGCTGCTCAGCCCTAGAATTACAACCGGGTGGACGGGAATTCCAACTCCCGCAGAAATGCGGGCGCCTCCCGCCCCTCTTCTTCCCACCTTGCTGACGCCCTTGCCCAGTGCGCGGGCACCCTGTAGCTGGGATGCAGCGAGCCAGACAGGAACTTCCTCTGCCCCCACCCCTCCGCACAAGCGCTGGCCGCCCCCGCCGGGGAAGTCACTCATTTTCCTTACCTATTGACCGTTGGGCTTAGTGGAGACCTGGTGTGGGTTTCTTGAGCCGTTCTGGAGAGCCTGGCCATTGAGAAGCTAAGCCAATATTTACCGAGCATAACGACAGTTCTCAGACGTGTTTATTAGGGCCCATCGCGCAAGCAAGACAATAGACCCTGGAGAGAGGGCGTCGAGGACGCACAGGGGCGAGAGATCCCGCAACCAGGAGCGCCCCGCACAACTCCGAAAGCCCGCCGTGAACCCGGGCGACGCTGCGCCCCGCGTCGCCTCACTCCCACCCCCAACCGCGCTGAAGTGGCGTTTGGATAAGAGATTGCGTGGGGGTGGTATTTCAGGAAATGTGCACTTGTGGCCAGGCGCCTTGGTACTCTAAACCGTGTCCATCTATCATCTTTTATCCAGGATCTGCAAATCAAGCTCTGATCCCCAGCCCCGCCCCAGCGCAGTCGCGCGCCGCTATCTCGCAAAGGAAGCCAGCCGAGTTTTATTGCTTTTACCAACGCCCCAGCGCG